TGTTGCAGAATCCAAATCCGTTAACTTTTCGCGATTCTACACGCGTCTGAACTCTGTGTTATTTTCGACGCGCGACGAGTGAACAATGCGGCAGGCCCCACGCTCAGGAACGGAATGCGTTCCTAAGCCAGATAAGGACGCTTCCCCTTTTTTAACGGTCATAATACATACTAGGTGTACCACTACTACTATTCCAACCATTAAAAGTCCCTAGAAAAAATATTTTTTTTTCGACTTTTGGCCAGCTTTTGGGGATTTGGGACCACTGTGCGTCGTACCTGAAGCTGAGCGTCGCGCGCTTGGTTACGGTTGTTTAATGACTGGAGTAGGGGGTGATAGGCGGTACCTCGCGAAAATCGGCCGAAATGAGCAGTTCGTGGACAGCTCTGAGATAGATCAACGGAAACACCGTATCCTATTATATTGGACGATATACCGGTGGATATATTGAACATGCCACTAAGTAAGTATAAGTGTTTAAAAAATTCTGTTACATATATGTATACTACTTTAAGATTATTCAAATTTTTATTTCACTATTTAATTATTCTTTAGTTTCAGATAATATCATAGCCCATAGATCATATAGATGCAAAAATCGAGCAGCTTCGGAACGAACTGATCTGCTAAATAACTTCTGTTAAAAGAAGTATCTTATATGACCTGGAAAGAAAAACCACTGAAATTAAACACACTATTGTCGCTGCCACTCAATCAGTCGCTCCACAACCTAATATGGAAATGTTACACGAATCCCTTGGCATAATGTTACCTACTGTGACAATGGATGATTTTTTGAATTTGGAAGATGCATTACGTACACCGGAAAAGAAAAAATCATTGGTAAAGAAAATTTTGTAATGAATAAAATACAAATATTTTAATACAAAATAAAATAAATAAAAAATACAACGCAAAAAGTAGTGTTACTAGTAAAAAGTGTTTTAATTCATTATTTTGTTAAAATGTTATAGATGGGATTATTTAGCATAATCACTGCCGGAGACCATAACGTGAAAGATTGCATAGGAAAAATGATGAAATCAGTAATGGGGAAATCTGTTGAGCTTGAGTATTCCGGTACAGGAAGAGTTATTCATGGACAGTCAAAGAAAAATTTCAGTGGGACTATAACATACCAATGCATAAGAGGTAAAATATATTACTTTAAATATTATATTTTATTAACAATTAAGAAATATATTTTATTACCTATGTAAAACTTGTGTAAAAAAAATTTTAATTTGAAATATTTTGTACAGACATTTTGGTAGAAAAATTTGGCAATACGTTGGACATAAAGAAACTACCCGGTCAAATCGGGGTATGGCTCTCCGGAGCGGGCGATAGAGAAGGCGGTAGAAAACAAAGAGTAACAACAGGAACAACAGCAACAAGATCCTTAATATAAAAACTTTATATAATTTAAAAATCCTTAATATCCTTAATATAAAAATTAAAACCAAAACACTAGGTTAGGTTTGTTATGAACACTTAAAGTTTTATTTTATTTTATATTATGTTCAACTTTATATTATGTCCAAAAAGAACAAAAAGAAATATATATATATAATATATAAATGTTAAAATGTTTCTAATGAAAATAAAAACATTTAAAAATGTATCAATATATAAATATTTATAATAACACAAATGTCGCGAAGTAATGTAAAATTTGGATTATCTTCCAAAATTGGGGCTTATTCAAATTTTTTAAAGTAAAGAGCCTAAGCAGAAGGATTGACTTATAATTTTAAGACAATGTTTTATGCTTTAAGTCTTTGTCTTCAGTAACGCACAATACTATTTTGTGTCTTAAGTCTTGAACATGTGTATGAACTTCATACCACTTGAGACACAAGACAGTATTGTGCGTTACTAAAGACAAAGACTTAAAGCATAAAACATTGACTTAAAATTATAAGTCAATCATTCTGCTCAGACCCTAAGTACATGTGTGGATACATCTGGCAATATAGCAATGCCATTATTGGTCTAATAATGGCGTGAAGTATCAACCATTAGTGGGCCAATGTTGATTGTGACGCTTGGCCGTATATTATTAACCATTCTTGGGCCGAAGTTATCACTCCATTAAATTCCCATTGTTGGGCCAGTCTTGGTTACCAATATTCTGCCAATGCTGGCGTCCTGGCGACCAAGCTCGGACCAGTGATACAAACTTTGGGGCCAGGCACCCACCGGAGCTGCTCTCTAGCACCGTTGGTGGTGCACACGGTGCTCACGCACACCAAGCGCCCAACCGTGTCCGTGTGCGCTCCGCGTTCGGCGGTGCTCGGCTGAGTTCGACTCTGCCTCGAGCATTAGAAAGAGAGAGGAGCAGATCACTATTTCTCGTCTCCTTTCCACTAAGTCAGCAGAGTCAGCTACGAAGCGAGGCGATCGCGGCAATCGCGGTTCACGCGAGGCTTGTTCGTAGCTGACTTGATGGAAAGGAGACGGAAAATAATGATCTGCTCCTCTCTCTCATGTGTTATTTGTTTATTTATTTCTATTTTATAAATTAATGGATAAAATTATATTTATCATAAATGCACATCATCAAAGAACTTTATATAAATATTGCGTATTTTTATTTCTCTGAAATCAAGTATGTATCGTACAATTCGTATTTTTATAATTCTCGTTAACTCTCTGCAAATTGCGAATGTATCTTAAATGTA